AGCAGCCCGCCCTTTGTGTGCTTATCTTCCCTGCCTGAGGGGAAGGTCCTGGCTTCATGCTCTCGGTGTGGCTTTTGGATCCAGAAGGGAAGTGAAAATGCCAGGATTTGGGGACGGTGAGCTGACAGGGAAGATGATAGTGGTGGTGGTGATGATGTGATGGTGGGTGTGATGACAGGGCATGGTGTGTCCTGAGACCTCCCTCATGTGAGCTGATGCTGGGAATGCTCTTGGGTTCTTACCCCGCTGACCTTCAGTCTCTCTGCTGGGCAGATTCTCAGTGCTGTGTTAGGTAGGACTGGCTGGAGGCCAGCCAGGCACTGTTATCTGTCCACCCCACAACAGTCAGGACTCCTGCAGTGTCCTACTGTCTGTAATTGTCCACATTCCTGGCATTGTCCCATGTAGCTCACCCCTCCTTCCTATGCAGAGCCCCTCCCTTCCTTCTTCCCCTCCTTCCTTCCCTCCTTCCTTCCTTCCTTCCCATGTAAAGCCCTTCCCTCCCTCCCTCCCTCCTTCCTTCCTTCCTATGCAAAGTGCCTCTCTTTCTTCCTTCCCTCCTTCCTTCCTTCCTTTCTTCCTCCCCTCCTTCCTTTCTTCCTTCCTCCTTCCCTCCTTCCTTCATTCCTTCCTTCCTTCCTATGCAAAACCCCTCCCTCCTTCCCTCTTTCCTTCCTTCCCTCCCTCCCTCCCTTCCTTTCCCTCCCTCCCTCCTTCTTTCCTTCCTTCCTCCCTTCTTTCCTTCCTTCCCTCCCTCCCTCCCTTCCTTTCCCTCCTTCCCTTCCTTCTTTCCTTCCTTCCTTCCTTCCTTCCTTCCTTCCTTCCTTCCTTCCTTCCTTCCTTCCTTCCTTCCTTCCTTCCTTCCTTCCTCCTTCCCTCCCTCCCCCCTTCTCTCCCTCCATCCTTTCTTCCCTCCTGCTCTCTTTCTCCCTCCTTTTTTCCTCCTTTTTTCCCTCCCCTCCCGTCTCCCTCCTTCCTCCCTTCCATCTTCACTGGGGATTGAACTTTGGGCCTTCACACTGAGCTTCATCCCCAGCCCCTTTTTATTTTGAAACTGGTTCTCACTATGTTGCTCAGGCTGGGCTCGAACTTGTCCTCCTGCCTTAGCCTCCCAGAGTGCTGGAATTACAGGATGCACTACTACACCCAGCTAGCATGTATTTTTAGACTGTCTGTTGGCGCCATGCCATCGCTGGTGGGGACTGAAATAGCTGTGGTCCTGTTTGTGCAGAGCTGTTGGCCCAGTGGATAGGTACAGTGAGCACTGTTTGCTTTACTAAGCTGACAGAAGAAAGCATTTCTGCTTCCCCTCTCGCAGTGACTGGATGCGTAGCCCTCCTCCTCTAGAGGCTCCTGGAGGACTGAGCTGCCTGTCTCCTGCCAGGCCGCAGCGTACTGGCCCCCTTGACAGCAGACCCTGTAGCCAAAGGAGTGCATTGAAGTTGGTGTATTTAACATTCCCATAATTGGAAGGAGAATTTCCCAGTCTCTTACGACAAAGGATTATAAATCTTTTCCATTAAAGGGGAGTGAGCTTCAGAGGGTAGGGAGAACACAGTGGAAATAAATTGGCAGCACTCCCCTCTTCTCGTTGCTGATGGGGAAAGTGGTTAATTAGGTGATTTTTCTCTTCCTCTGACACGTGCAAATGAGACTCCGTTAATAACCAAGCTGTTACATAAATGATAAAATTTTAACACCAATGTCAAGTTGTCAGGCGTTTCTGGACAGGGAAGGTGAGCCTGGGGAGGTGCGGAGGCCCCGCCCAACCCTGCCAGCCTGCTGACTGGGGGGCCCTTCCATAGCCCCTGGGCTTTGGTGTAGGCTGGCAGCGGACTCTTCCTTCCCCTCCCTGCAAACCCCTTCAGGGCCAGATTCGTTATTTAAAAATGATAATAAAAACAGAATGAGCTGCTCAGATGATGTTATGATATGTAGCTGTGACCTGAGCCTTTGGCAGATTTGGCTTCTCAGTTTCACACCACTTGCTGTCTTCTGCTGTTTCTAAGGATGTTTCTACTGCATCAGAATGCAGGACCACGGACAGCGCCTGGGCTCAGGCCCTGTCTTAAGGACCTGGCCCCAGTCGCACTTGCTGTCCAAGGCTGAGTGGGCTGCCTTTGCTGTGACCCTCAGAGCACGACTCACGCACAGGGCCTTGGTGCAGTAAGACACAGACATTGTGCTTCACAACCCCGTGGAAAACGTGGTTTGTGCTCATGCACTTTTTAGTCTGTGAAAAAGCTCAAATCAGAAAGGCTGCCTGCCTCTGTCTTGTCACCGGGCTTCAGGGACACAGCAGAACTTGAGAATATGGTCCCGTGGCAGTGTCATTTCTGTTCAACCACAGGCAGCTTCCTTGTCTGTCCTCCCGACAGGACACCTGTGGTGCCTTGCTCTGACCTGTCAGCCCCTGCGGATCATCTCCACGGTGACACTGGTTGTATAGGATTTGTATCACCCTCTCATCCAACAGGCCAGCTCTGAGCCATGTCCCCTAGATTGTGTCAGACTTTGTGTGGCTGGGGGTGAAGTGAGCCCTCCCTGCCAGGAGCTGGCAGCAGCTTGGGACAGAGGTATGTGTAACCATGTGATGCCTGGTGTCTTGGGTGTGTTCAGTTCTTGGCTTTTCAGAGGTGACCCCTTCCTGCTCTGCCAGTGCTGTGGGCAGGGTGGAAGTCCGGAGCACTTCCCACAGGCCTAGTAACTTGTGGGCTGGCTGTCTACCTGGAGTGGGAGTCCCTCTGTCCTCTGCCTGCAGAAGAGTTCATACCTCCTGAAGCTGGCTAATGGGCTTGGAGGGAGGAGGAATGGGTTGCCCAGTCCAGTTTTCTCCCAGCCTGATGCACTTGCTTCTGTCCACAGCTCCTGCCTGGCCTCTGGGTGGGAGATTGTTAGTACAGTAAGGGTTAGTGGCTGTTTCTTTTGCAAATCTAAAATGAGATTTCATTTTTTAAATAAAAAGAGAAAATGCTGAACATTTGCAGCTGGGAGATAGCAGAGATTAGAAATGTTACTTATCTCCATTGCACAAAAGGAGGCAGAGGAGAGGACTGTGCCGCTGTTGAATACTAATGAAGCTGGGTGGCGTGAAGCTCTGAGGGAAGATCACTCCTTCAGGAACTAGATGCGAGTGGCCAGAATTTCAAAGTATGACCAAGTGCTGAGGAGTGACGCAGGTGGGACTGTCACCGTCGGGTGAGAGAGAAGCCTTGGCCTTGCCAGGTCCAGGCCCCTTATTTCAGTGTGACTTTATGACGTTCATTTGCAGAATAGCACCACCTCCCAGCACACACCTAGAAAGGGGGCAGCCCCATAGTTCTGAGGCTGCAGCTCACCGCCCCAGCCATGTGCTGTCAACGTCCTGTGGCTGTAACTGTCTGTCCATCATGGCAGGAGGGACCCCCACTCCCTAAACATCCTGTCACCTTCCTGCCGGTTCCTCTGCCTGGAGTTCTGTCTGTGCTCACCTTCCTGCTTCAGTAAACTCCAGTTTGTCTTTGAGGTCTAGATCAAATGCCATGTTCTCTGGCCCCTTTATTTGGCTTTTTTTCTATTGCTCCATCTCACCTTGGGCACAGTCTAGGAGAGTCATCAGGCCAGTGTTGTGTTTGCGCATTGTGTCTCTTTTTCCTGCCATGGGGCAGCCTGCCCTTCCTTTTCTCTGTCGCCTTCCTGCAGCATGCAGGGCTGCTTGATGGGGTGGCATGTCTCTGTTGGCCTGCCTGTCATCCTGCAGCAGTGGAATCCCTCTGAGGACTGGGCATGGTCTCACACATTCTGTGTCTCCTGTGACCAGAGCTGTGCGGTCCATAGTCTACAGTGATGGAAATTTGAACATATTTTGGAGGGGAGATCCCCATTAGTAAAACTCAACTGTTCTGCCAACCATAGAAGACTCCATGCCTGCATGTGTATACGTGTATGGATCATGTATGCATAGTACACACCTACATGTATTTGTATGTACAGAGTGGCATGTTGCCACATGTGCACCCATATTGTTGTGTATTTGGGTCAGCCTCATCCAGAAGCAAAGTGGAGTGCCTCAGTGATTGAGGTCTCCTTGTGGTGGGGTCAGGGCCACTGCTGGTAATCCCTACCCCACCCCCTATACAAGACAGGTTGTCCAGGAGTGAAGATTTCCCAGTTGGAATTCTGAGGATCCTGAGGCTCCAAAGCAAAGTGGGCACATGTGCTCTTGGCTCTGATCAGAGCACAGGGCTGGCAGCAGGGGCAGCCTGGAGCCGAGTTGTCCCCTGATCCCCATAGCTGGGCTCCTCGGAGAACCTGAACTGGCAGATGGGCCTGACATATGTGTAGGAAAGTCCTATGCCGCAGATTCCACTCCTTGCCCCTGCCTCAGTCCTACCCCTACGAAGTCTCTGTAGTATCACAGCAGTGTGTGAGCTGCCTGGGGAACTTCTTCCATGGAGTTGATCTCTTTGAGTGGGTTGTGTCCCCTCCAGCCATGCCCTATACCTGTGTACCCAATAAGACACAAGGGGGACGGTGCTTAGCGCATTGGACCCCAGGAGGGCAACAAATGCAGAACTCATGAAAAAGTAGCATAGGAAAAGACCAGAGCCAACCTTGGCTTTTGCCAGAATTTCGTGTGCCTGGACTCAGGTGGTCGGGCACTGGGGTGGAGCCAACTCACTGCCCCAGAAAACCTCTTACAAGTGCCTTTTCTCTTGGGAATTGTCTGGCCGGTTGTTTCTCAGCTGGTCCCTCAGTGCCTTGCTGTCCTCGTCTGGAATGTGCCTAGTTTCTGAGCCATCCGGCAGGCCTTTGGGCTGAGATGGCTTTGTCCATGTCCACCTTGGCTGGTGGCACTTGCTTCCTCTTGTTGTGGTTTGTGAGCGGTCAGGACACAATTAAGTCCTGATTGATCTTGGCGGAATTTGATTTTCAGTAGCCACGAGACTCTCTGGAGGGACGCATCTCTCCTGCCACATCTTTGCCACCCCTTCCATGTGCTCTCTCCTTCTTTCTCACAGAGTCAGCAGCCTCCCTCTGGAGAGACTCAGCAATCCCCTCCTGTTGCTAGCTGCCCGGATGCATGCTTTGAGATACTAGTGAGTATCTTTGTAGATAGATGTGGTCCCCCTTTTTGCTGTCTTTGGTTTCATTTCCCAGTGGTCATTGGGGTTTGAAAATATTAGATGGAAAGCTCCAGGAATATACAATTCTTAAGTTATAAATTGTGTACTGTCCTGAGTAGCGTGAAGGAATCTGGCTGTCTCCTCCCACCCTGGACAGTGAGTCACTGTGCCCGTAACCGCTCTCTGTGTGCTGCCCACCAGTGGGCACCGAGCAGCAGCCTGGGTGATCAGATCATCTGTCACAGTACCACAGCGTTTGTGGCCAGGTAGCATTTATTTTACTTTCTGATAGCCTCATGGTACAAGGGTTATGATGCTGGCAATTTGGGTGTGCCAAGGAGAGAAGCTGTGTAGCGCTTCCTTTATGTGAAAGGTGAAAGTGCTGGCTTTAATAAGATAGAAAAAATGGTGTGCTAAGATTGCTGAGCTGTATGGTTAAGAATGAGTCTCCTGCCTGTGAAATTGTTAAACAAATTTCTGCTCAGTCACCTCAGACTGCAAAAATTATGGCCATGTTGCATGCTGAGTGTTTAGTCATTTACCTCAGCCATGTCCCCATGCACACACGCGGGCATCCTGTCACATCATCACCAGAAGGACAGACATTTTGAGGGACAGACCACATTCATGTACCTTTTAGTACAGTATATATCGTTGTAATTGTTCCATTTTATTATTACTTATTGCTGGTGATCTCAAACTTATAAACCCTATCATAGGTTTGTGTGTATGGGAAAAGCAATATATTCAGAATTCCTTACCCTCTGGAGTTTGAAGCACCTGCTGGCGATCTTGGGATGTGTCCCTGCAAGTAAGGGGCAGATAGGCCTTTGTACTTCTTGTCCTTTTACTTTGCCGTGGTTGTTCTCAGCTCTGAGGCTCCCTCGGGTGCCTGTGGACCTCCCTGTCCTCCCCATTCTGCAGGCTTCCCTGTGTCTTGGCCTCTCCAGCTCAGCCTTGGGAGCGTGCGTGCTTGCGTGCGTGTGTGTGTGTGTGTGTGTGTGTGTGCCTGTGTGTTTAGGAGGTAGACATCCCTTCCTGCACCAGCTGTTGCTGCCATCCTAAAAGCCTTTCTGCTCATATCCCATTTTCTGTCTCAGTGACAGCCAGTGCCATTCCCGCCTCCCCTCCAGTTCACAGGTCCCTTTTGTGTGGCCATAGCCTCAGGTTACAGCTGTCCGGCCCTGTCACTGGTTGGGCCTGCTCTGAGTCTCTTCTGTCACTTGAAATGGCAGGGTGGGTGTCTGTGGCCAAAGAATGGCTTCTCTTTGTAAAAAATTTTAACTCTTTCCAAAGATGTTTTATTTTACAGAATTTTTGCTGTTTATGCCCTTTCATTTTGAGGCATGAACTCTTTATTTTCCTAGCATTTTACTGATGTGCGTGCGGAGTGTGTAAGACTGTGCAGGTGATTGGGACCTGCTCATGTCACAGCGCCCTCAGGGCCCCTCCTAGCACCTTCGTTGTTCCTGTAAGTTTCTGTCTGCCTTCAGCCCCCAGGAGGGTTCACTGTTGTGATCTTTCTGTGAAGGGCCTCAAGTTTCATCCCTGGAAACTATCTGATTCCTGTCTTCAAATGTGTCACATGTGAGTCCAACCCCAGCCTGGTGACCTCCACTCTCACTCCTCCCGAAAGCTCAGCAGCTGGCCCCCCTTTCCCTTAGCATCCCACCAGCCTTTCCTGCCACCCTTCTCTGGCCTCTAGGATGTTCTCTGCCAGCCACTGCTCAGTGCTTCTGCCTTGTTACACCCAGTGTGCCATGTCTCATCTCCCTACTGCCACTCGAGTGGCTGCCGTGGGCACTGGTGCCATCCACGGTGTCCGACACATGGCAGGTGTGGAGCTCAGTTTGCTCTAGGTGGAAGAGTTGCAGCTCAGGGTCTGCGTAGGGTCCTGGGATGGCTACTCTGCCAGCTCCGTGCAGCGCTGATCCTGCTTCTGCCCCGCTGGGGCTTCTTGCTGTCCTGGAGCTCCCCGAGTTTCAGAAATAATGTCAGCGCCCAGATGGGGCCTGGAGGCTGGGGTGTTTCCTGTGCTTACATTTGTGGCACTCCTCTGTCCTGATTGTTTCACATCTTTGAAGCCTATTCTGTCTGGTGACCCAGCCGGTAGCCCAATCTTTCCATCTCTGCTGGAGCCCCTTGCTGGGTGCCTTCCCATTCTCGAGGTTCTTCTGACAGCTTCATCCTGCAGGCCTTGTCCTGTGGGCCTTTGATTAACTGTAAGGAGCACTTACTGGTGGTTCCTTGCTGGTGGCTCAGGGTGAGTGAGGCAGTGCGTCCTTGGGCTGTCCATGTTCTTCTCTGGCTCCCTGTCTCTGCTTTCCCACGTCCTGCAGCTGTCTGCTCACACCTGGGAGGAAGGGAGAGGAAGTGAAAGGATGTCAGCATTTTATTTGAATAACCTTTTTTGGGTCTGATTACAAAAGGAATCCAGTTTCATTTAGAACATTTGACAATGTAGAGGAAACAAACAGAAAGGATGAGAATAAAGGTTTCCCATAATCCTTCTGCCCAGCAAAAACCACTGTAAATGTGTTGGCTTAGTCTTGGCCTCATGTTTGCATGTGTGTGTGTGTGTTTTCCTGATACAGTTTTTAGGAAAAATATAACACTGCATGCACTATTGGATGAATCTTCTTATTTCGCTTAACCTTTTGTAAACATCTTTCCAATTAAATGTTCTTTTAGAATGTAACTTTTGGGAGTAGGGATATAGCTCCATGGTAGAACACATGCTTTGCATGTACAAGGCCCAGGTTTGATCCCCAGCACCAGTAAACCCCAAGTGTTCGCATTGTGGGTAGTTTATTTAGCCAAACACTCATATTTGTATGTTTGTCTTTTTTCTTTCTGTATTATACATGATATTCTGATTAACACATGTCTCCAAAACTTTGCTTACTTGCTGATTATTTCCTCAGGAAAAGTTGTTAAAAGTAGGTGTTTAATAAATGGTTCACTTTTGTTTTGCTTTGTTTTTCAGTACTGCGGATTGAACCCAGGGGCTTTGAGCACTGAGTAGAATGTTGAATTCATCTTTTCCTACCACACACGATGGCCCTAGTTCCCCCTATAACTGCCAGTGGTTGAAGGGTTAGAGAGGGGAAGGAGCTGTCATAATTGAGACTCAGTATAACTGGTTCGTAGGATGGGCTCAGGAGCCAGACTTCTGGGTTCCTTTGCTACCCCTCCATTCCATCTGTGTGACTTTGGTCCTGTCTGTTGACATCAGTGTGTTCCATGCCCTCTTCTGTCAATGGGCATAGCAGGAGGACTCGCACATGAAGGCTTATGTGGGTAGGAAGTAGCACATGGCTGGATGTGCGCCCTTTCTAGGCAGCAGTCTGAAAGCATCTCGCAGCCCTGTTGGGTTGGGTCTTCACTGCACGGTAGGATGCTTCCTCTGTGCCATTTTGGGTACTGGGGTGCTGACGCCTTTCTGTTCAAGGAGTTCTCTGTAGACAGGCATCATCTCCCTAAACACCCACTTACTTTCAACTGTATTTCAGCTCTGCTGTTGGCAGGGGATGTGATACCTCTTACAACAAAGAGATGCCTGTCCATCCTCTCTACACAGGCAGGAAAGATGACCACAGCTAGACCCCAGTGTTATTGGAACTCTGCAGACTTGTGTGTTGAAAGTGTTTTGTTTTTTCCTTTTTGGTACTGGGGATTGACCCCAGGGCCTTTGCACAGAGTAACATCCCCCGCTCTTTTTTTTGAGACAGGGTCTCTCTAAGTTGCTAAGTTGCCCAGGCTGGGCTCAAACTTGTGATCTTCCTGCCTTGTCTTCCCAGAGTACTTGGATTACAGTTGCATGCCATCATATCCAGCTGTATAAAAATGTTTGCTAGTTCTTTGTGTTTCAGGTAAGTTTCCCACATACTGATTATTGTTTATTTAATGGCAGTGAAAGCCTGTGGTATACTGTTCTGCAGGTCTTGAGAAGTGTGCTGAGCATCTGCCACTATGGTCGTGACAGAGGGCAGTGGCTGTGTACTCAGGGTCCTTGTGTGCCTCTCTTTGTCGGCTCCAGCCCACCCCAGCAGCCACTGGCAGGAGATTCGAAGGGTAGGGGCCAGCATGAGATCGGAAGCCAGGTTCTGAGTGTGCAGCCACCTCCCCCTGCTCTTCTCCAAGTGTCTTCTTTCCAAACTGCATCCTCCGGCTGGCCTGTCACTCTCAGTATCTGGCTACATATCCCTTGTCCCCTGGACCCTCGTTCTTCTCGCTCACTCCTCACAGTCAGTCTGAGGAGATAAGGGCAATTACAGCCTGTCCAAGTCCAATCCATCACCTGGCGGACATTCTTGGGCCTCCCACAGATATGGTCACTGTGCCAGCAGCTGCCTGCCGGCTCTGGCCACCATGTTCAGCTCTGTCTTGCTCCTTGTCACTGGCTGAGCCACTTGTCTGGAGTCTCTCATGAAAGTGCGCTGGCAGCTTTTCTCCTTAATTACCGTGTTTTAAGGGCTTTGTTGGTTCCAATGCTGTGGCACAACTCAGGCTGTGTCAGTACTGAACAGTTTCACACCAAGTGCTGAGGCATCTGGGGGGACTAGAAGGAATGGTCACTCCTTCCCAGTTTGGTGTCCTGCATGTCCTGTCCTCACACAGTCCTGTGGCAGGGCTCCCTGTACCAGCATCTTATGACTCCTGGTAAGGAGCCTGTGGGTGAAGGTGGTGGTCTTGTAAGCTGGGTAGGCGTGTCACAGTCCTTAAAGGATTGGGGCCCTTGAAAAAGCAGGGGCTGAGAGGAGGCTGACACGTTAGTCACAGGAGCACCCATTTTCTTATGGCCTGTTACAGCAATGCGGTCTGTGCAGTTTTGATTTCCGTTGGGGGGAATCTGTTGGGTAAGTGTTGTGTTTTGGTGTGTATTATACAAACCCAGACTTTATCGAAGTCTGATCAAGGCATAGTAAGATACAGAATGCTCACTGTGGACTCAGTGACATTTTCCATGAGTA